CAACGTTTATTTATTTTTGGGACAGAGAGAGACAGAGCATGAACGGGGGAGGGGCAGAGAGAGAGGGAGACACAGAATCGGAAACAGGCTCCAGGCTCTGAGCCATCAGCCCAGAGCCTGACGCGGGGCTCGAACTCACGGACCGCGAGATCGTGACCTGGCTGAGGTCGGACGCTTAACCGACTGCGCCACCCAGGCGCCCCATGTATTTTTAAAAAACATGCATATTTTTTAAAACTTGTGTTTTATTTAAAAAGAAATTTTAATGTTTATTCTTTTTGAGAAAGAGTGTGAGTGGAGAGGGGCAGAGGGGGAGATGCAGAATCTGAAGCAGGCTCCAGACTCTGAGCTGTCAGCACAGAGCCCGACGCAGGGCTCGAACCCCCAAACCGTGAGATCATGACCTGAGCTGGTCGGATGCCTAACCGACTGAGCTACCTAGGTGCCCCTAAAACTTGTATCTTAAAAGTTTCTGTTCCCTTGCTCTAAATTATAAAAGTTGTTGTTTTGGGTTTCTAGGAAGAACAGTAATGTTGCTTTTTATTTGTGCATAGTGGCTGACCAGCACCCTTCCTTTGAGGGCTCGGGGACTGGGGACCCAGGCTGTTCAAGCCTTAAGGAGGGCTGGGCCGGCGCAGCCTCGGCGCTGCAGTTCTGGTTTGCCTGAAGAGTACATTTTCACCAGAGCCTGGATCCTGGGAAGCCGTTTCCACAGGGCCTGGGTCTAGAACCTTCCATTCTGCCCCCTCGCACCTCGAGGGGTTATCAGGTCTACTCCCTCCAGGTGTCACCACTTTCTCAGCCTTGCCTCTCCCAGCACCCACAGAGAACAGCCCCAGGATTCTGGGCAAGGGGCACGTGTTTTCTGCTCCCCTTTCCCTGAAGATGTAGTGTCTTTTCCTCCACAGGCCAGCATGCAGGGCCTGCTCTGGCCTTTCCCTACACCCTCTTGCCCGGGTGCCTTTCTTCTCTCTCCATTCTCCAGACCCTCTCCATACAAACTCTTGTCCCCATTTTCAGCAAAAACCACCCTGGAGCCACTGCAGGAGGGAGGGACACCCAGTTGAGGTGTAGACATGGGTAGCATGGCCATGGGAAGGGCATCATAGAACCCACAGGCCAAACCCTGCCTGAGGAAGCCCCGGGAGGGCCTCCAAGCTCAGTAGCCCAATCTGGCCCCTGCCCGGGCAGGGAGATGCCTGGTGGCCATTCTTCCAGGACCCAGGCACAATAATTGTGGGAGGAGGAGAGGCCAGGTAACACTGAGCCCATTTTTCGGAGGAAAAGAATCGGAGGTGAACTGTCTTCTCCCAGATCCATAAGGGAAGTTCCGTGTCAGGGCCAGGCCCCAAATTCTGATCGTCTGCCCCAAAGCTGGGGCTCTTTCCAACCCCAATTCTTCTCCCATGGTGGCAAAGAGGACACGGGATGCTAAGGAGAAGCAGGGGCCTTTATTGGGGTCTGGCAGATGTGGTGGAGGTGGGGGTGGAATCCCAGGCCCGGGCCTAGGAAAAGGCAGAGAAGAGGCAAAGGGCCCTAGGAGCAGGAACCCAGCCCTCCCTGCCTCCACCCTGCAGCTCCTCCCCCACCCCAGGTTCCTTACTCCAGCCTCCCCCTGCCTCTGGGAACACAGCACCAAGAATGGACAAGCAGGACCCTCCAGGGCCACCGCTTGGAGCGGAGTGCAGGATCCAGACTTCTGTCTGACCACAGTGGGAGATCTGGGGAGCTCAACGCACCCTTCTCCACCAGGATAAAGTGGGAAGGCGCCTTCTGTCCCCCAGAACAGAGCAGACTCTTTTCTCTGTGATGGGGGAGAGGAGTGAAGCTTGGGCCTCGACGTAGAACCTGGGAAGAGGCTGGAAGTGACATCCCCAGAGGAGCTTCTAGACCCCACCTTTGCACTTGCAGGGTCTCCGCTTTTCCTTCCCATCAACTCTGGTGAGCGGTTCAGAGTCTGGGCAGGGGCAACTGGTGGGCCAGCAGGGACCCGCTCCAAAGACATCTGCGGGCTTCAGAGTGAGGGTTTCCCCAACACCAAATTCCTCTATATGTACACAGGGCAGCACCCACCGGCAGTAGGGGAGCAGCGGCCAGGGCTAGTAAGAGTAGCCACCCTTGGGGCCAAAGGGCTGGGCAGGGCCAGCCAGCTCTGGGAGGTAGGCAGGGCTCTCGTCCAAGTGGGACAAAGGGACTGTGTCCTCCTCACTGACTGGCCGGTCAAACTCGGCCTTGAGGGCTGGACGCTGATTGTCCGGGAAGGCCAGGGAGAAGAGGGCCTCAGGCTCACACACAAACTTGTACACGTAGCGCTCACCAGCCACCTGTGGGAAGAGAGGGGCTGGGTGGGCCTAGCTCTCCCTCCAGGTGAGTGTGGGTTGGGGGACGCAGCCCTGGGCCAGGTCCCAACAGGTGCATGGGGCGCATCTCTCCCATGCCGGCTCCTCCGAGAAGCCAGCTCCCCACAGAGTTCCCATTCCCCAATCTCAATGTCTCCACACTTTGGGCTTTTCACTTACTGTTTGAGCACTTTTTTTGGGGAGAGGGAAATCTTGTCCACAGTTTCTCATTCCCTCTGTCCGGTTCATTATCGGCTCCCACCAACTTGCTGAGAAATGCTCCCCTGCCCCTATCACCTTCCCACAGTTACTGCCTCTCACCCACCCCGGCCCTGGGGCTTTGGCCCCTCACCTTCTGCATGATGCCTTTTTCATAGTAGTATCGGAGCGAGCGGCTCAGTTTGTCGTAGTTCATGGCCGGCCGGTTCTTCTGGATGCCCCAGAGCCTGGCAACCTGGGGACGGGACAGAGGTTTGGGATGCTGGTGCTGGCTCAGCAGACAAAAACAGGGGGCAGGTCAGAAAGAGCACCTGAGATTCTTCGTGCAAAACAGAAGCTGGCCCTGCAGACCAAGCAGCGGCCCACAGACCCAGGTTTGACAAGAATTCAGGTCAGGGGAGGCATGTGCCGCATTCCCAGATCCTGTTATCTCCAGGCCCCAGAGATGTTGGGAGGAGAGGTGGGGACATCCGGGAGGCCCACCTCCTCGGGCTCTATTAGTTTGAACTCCATCCCCCGGCCAGTCCAGGCGATGAAGTGGGCATTCGTTGGGTCATCCAGCAGGGCCACCAGAAATTGCCACAGTTGCAAGGCACCCCTGCGCTGGTAGGGCGGTCCCTCTCGGAACGCTCCGACCCCTTCCTGCTTGATGTCTCCTGGGGAACACAGAAAGCAGGTGTCAGGTTTGTGCCTCCTGGTCCCCCAAGTAACCCCATCTCCCCTCCCCAGCGGTATTGTGATTCTGGGGGGGGGGGGGACGACACAGAAGGCAAGGGTAAGACCCTGGCCCTTTCGTAGTCACTTCTCTGACCTTCAAATTTCTCAGGGACAACACAGACATCATCTGGGAATGGTCGAAGAGGTTTCTCATAGCCATAACCTTGAGGAGGAAGTTGGGGGTCACTCAGATCTGGGGGCTCATCGATATGAGTCTCCAGAGAGTCCAGAGGGACTCCTGCACAGGAGACCCTCCCCGACAGCAAGACTCCCTCCTCCACCTTGGAGGGCTTGGCGGAGAGGAGGGGGCTGCCTTACCCATGGCCCCGTCGCCTGGAGAGTGTCCGGAGAAACCCTCCGTGTGAAGATACATTGATGCACACCCAGGGACATCTGGGAGGGGAGGAGAGAAGAAAGGGTGATGTTACAGGTGGCTGCGGTGGGGGCAGCAGTCCTACCCACATTCGAGAACTCCTTCCTGCCAGCCTGCTTTCCGGTTCTTTTCCCAGCTGCCTGCCAACCACCAAATCCCAAGGCAAGTTCACCCAGAGGGGGCACAAGGCTTGAACCTCTCAGCTTGAAGTTTGGGCCAGAGGGCATGGCCGGCAGCAGCTGGGCCTGGCAAACTGTTGCACAAGGCCCAACATTCCAGGGAACAGCTGTTTCCTGTGAGTTTAGGGGGAGGAGGAAGGGGAGGGATGAACCTCCGGGGAAAGGGTTCAGTGTCCATGCCTAAGACTCCCTTGGAATGGGCTAACCTCCGGTCAGCAGGTTGGGTTCCTAGCTCTGTGTGTGTGTGTGTGTGTGT